TAGGGTTTGGGTTTGAGGGGTTCAGTGCGCTCTGTTTGTCTCTCCAGACTTTGTGGCCAGCGCTGGGTTCGGTGAATCAAGTCAGCACGAAGGTTTCTTCAAAGCCGCTAGGACCATTATGTTCCGCTGGGAATAGAGGCGTTTACCACCACACGTTTAGCGACACATCCACCTCCAGGAAGGGTGCGGAGACAGGAGCTGAACCCTAAACTTCAAATCCTAAACCCTACACCCTAAGCCCTAAACTTTACACCCTTAACCCTACACCCGAAACCCTTACACCCTAAGCCCGCAACCCTACAGCCTACACCTCAAACCCAAAGCTCTGACACCCAAGCTCAACTCTCAAAAGTAAGGCCGAAGGCTCTGAAACCGAAGCAGCAAAACCTACACCAGCTATTGTCTAAACTCCTTAAAGGGGCGTTACATAGGGGATTATACAGGGGACTCTTCCAGGGTATCAGGGGGATACTAGGAGTTCGCACTACAGCTCATAGCTCCTCTTACGTAGATGGCCTATGGTCTTCCACAGAACCATATTAAGATCCCTACGCAGATGGAATACGGAATTCCCCAAATCATATTAAGATCCCCACACACCCGTCTTCAGTCCGAAAAACCTTGTAAGCACGCATCCCAGCATGGAGTCAAGGCTTCCGGATCCGAAGCGCCTTGCTACCAAGGGAAGCGCAGCAACCTCACCCAAATTCTGGCTTAACAAAAATACCTTGTTTAAGTCTAGGTTTCCACAGACCTGCAACCCTAAACCCTAAAACCCTAAAACCCTCAAGCCCTAAGCCCTAGCCCAGAACCCTTACAATGTATGGCTCCTAACAGGTGACTTTGGCGCACCTTGAGGCCTTGCTCCTGGAAACTTGACTGAACCGTTGCCGTGACCTGGGCTGTAGGTGGATTTGACCTACTGGTGCTTCAGCGGGAGCGGGGGAGTGAACATAGGGAGGGATTATCACCCAAAATCCTAAACTCTAAACCCTAAAACCCTGAACCCTAATTTGTAAAATCCTGAACCGTAAGCCTTACACCCCCCTTAAGCACCAGTCAGTTGAAGGATAACCCAAGGGCAAGCCAACAAACAACGCAGAACCCTGGGTAAGACTCTTGCTATAATCCCCCCAGGGTAAGCATCGGCAATCTCTGCGATTTTATCTTTTGCTCCTTTTTTTATGTGAGCCAGTGTCAACATTAGCCTGATTAAGGAACCCTTGTCAGTGGACATAGGGGTACCTCTTGCAGTTCAGTATAGTCCCTCAAACATCCCCTAATAACGAAACAATGTCCATTAAACTCTGGACGAAATATTGACTGTAGCTCATGTGAGTTCAGTTCATGATTTATCTGGGCTTCAGAGTTTTTGCCTCAGCACAGGGTGTGCTGTAGATCAGCACTTTCAAAGACCTGGTCGATGAAGTTGGGTGCATGGTATGTCTAGGGTATCTATGAGACATAGTCTAAAAGAGGGTTATATGGGGGATTCTATAGGGGACTATCATAGGGGCTATTAAGGGGGATAACTACTATATTGTGCGAAGGCATGTTGGAACCTGCTTCTGTAGAAGGCCAAGAGTGCCTGGCACCTTGTCCGTTTGGTTTATTACTATTACCTAGGGTTTGGGGAGCCCTCTTGAGCTTGAAATAATGAAATTTTGAGATGAAGGAAATTTGGGAACCCTAAGTAATGGTAAGTTTATATGGGCTTGAGGGTTTAGGGTTCAACTGTTACAAGAAGCCAGTCCAGTCTGTACACGGAGGCCCTTGAGGGTGATGACTGTCACATGAGGCCTCCTCGAAGGGCGGGGTGTACCAGAAGGAAAGGAGATTTAACACGCTTCCCGAAATCTCAAATATGTTCGTGACAAGTACAGTACCCATGAAACCCAGATACAGCCGGCCACCCATGATTGTCAGCAGTCAGCTGAGGTTTGGTTAAGTTGACGCTTCCCTCCCAATTGTGGTGGACCCTGCACAGTGGCCATTTAGGCCCCTACGTTGCACGCTGGAATCGACACCCCTGAAACCATGCATCCTGAGCCCTAAACCTTAAGCCCTAAACCCTAAAGCTTAAACCTTAAACCCTAAAGCTTAAACCTTAAACCCTAAACCCTAAAGCTTAAACCTTAAACCCCAAACCCTAAAGCTTAAACCTTAAACCCTAAACCCTAGACCTTAAACCATAAACCTTAAACCCTAAACCTTAGACCCTAGAGCTAAGGAGAAGCTGGCCAACGCCGAAGGCGACATCCTGGATGTTCCTCAGCCAATTTCTTGGGCTCAGGGCTTGTAGCAAGACCTATGGGTTTTGGGTTTAGGGTTCCGGGGTTTGGTGTTTAGGGTTTAGGGTTTGGGGTTTCTGAAGCTAGGAAGCCGAGAGTAGTTGCATGGGATTGTTAGATGTGGAGGCATACCATCAAATCATGGCAGACATTTGGGTACTCACTCCTGGGAAAGTTCGAGAATTTCTGGGTTGCTGTTAAGGAAATTAAATAAGACTGCTTCAATAAGGAAACCCTATTACTTACTATATACCAATCATATGGAAACTTAAGCTCAGTTCCTTGACAGCAACCCAGTCTGTGTCACTATGGGTGCCAAGCCCACAACAAAGTCAAAGTGATTCCAAAACTTAAACCCTAAACCCTGAACCCTAAACCCTGAACCCTAAACCATCAATCAGCCCACTGAGGACACAGAATTGATCCTCTCCTTGGAGGAGGCCAAGAAGCAACTCGGCTTCAGCTCAGCTGGTTGGGTTTAGGGTTGAGGGTGCAATTTAGTTTTGGTAAGGGTTTAGTGTAAGCTTGCTTCATGAAATGCCTGCAGGCAGCATCTTTTGACTTATCCGCACAGGCTTAAATTCAATCTACATGGTCAAGATCTTGGGTGTGGTTTTGTCAAATTTCACGCGTGCGGTCAGGGACATCTTTACTTGGCTGAAGTTTTCGTTGTGCAAAGTCTTTCTGCCCAAGTCTCGACATGGACGTTGGACTTAGTGTGCGACAGCCTTTCACATACAGCATCTAACGTCTTAAGCGCTGAGCCGCAAGTTTGAGACCGCCCATGCTACGTATCTCAGGACAAGCGACGAGGTCAAGGAGAAGGTGGTGATCGCTCAGGACCCCAACATGCGCCAGCTGCGCTTGCCTGCTTCCACAATCGAGTATGCTATTGCGGATAAAAGGCCTTCGGAAAATCCTACAAGGTTCCTGAAAATATTGTTAATTTCTGTTACCTAGAATCCTAATATTTAGCTGAGATTATAATTTCTACTGGGGTTCCAAATCCCATAGAGAATCATGGATGAGAACTCACAAGCTTTGTTTCACTGGAGCTCATGCAGTGGCAGGCTGCTAAGGGTTTAGGATACAAGGTGCAGTGGTCCGGGCTTTGGGCTTTTTGGGGTTTCCTGCCTGATCTTTCCCACCCTAAACCCTAAAGCCTGAACTTCAGGCTTACGCCGCCCACCTACCATGGTGGGCACGCTTATGCCCCTTGCCCTCCATGGCGAAAGGCCGACACACCAATACTGGTCGCTTCTTTAAAAGTCAATGCCCAAACCCTTAGGTATTCGCTCCGAGGGTGGGCTGAATCTTTCCAGGGACCTGCTGGGGGGTGTCCTCTTAACCGCAACCCTCCAATCCTCTAGCCGCCTAAACCCCCTACCCCCCAACCCTAAACAACAAACCCTGAACCCCAAATCCATATACCCGTCAAACCCCCAAAACCCTCAACCCCAAAACCCTAAACCGGCAAGACTGTAAACCCTAAAACCCAACACCCCCTAAACCCAACCCTACAACAGGATACCGAGCTCAAAATCAACGAGACCTCCGAGTTCTACCGACCGACGGGTGCACGCGGTGCCTTGCATCTGGGCCAAGAGCTGGAACCCAAAGGGTTTAGGGTTTAGGGTAAACACTTCAGAGTTTAGGGGTTTGGGGTTTAAGGGTTTTGGGGGTTTCAGGATTTGGGGGTTTAAGGTTTTTGCGGTGTAAGGGTTTGCAGTTTGGTGAGTCCTAGGGTTTTAGGGGCTTGGGAATTTTTAGGGTGTTGGGGGTTTTAGAGTTCTGGGGGCTTGGGGTTGAAGGTTTAGAGGTTGGGGGTTCAAGCTTTTCAGCTTCAGCGCAAGGATTTTAAGGTTTAGGCTTAGGTTCAAGGGTGTGGGGTCCAGGGTTGAGCGTAATAATGATGACATGTTGGGAGACGTTGGAGAGGGTCTGCATGGATTAGCCAGGCCGGGAGAGGGCAGGAAGTTCCCCCTTCAATGGTGCCCTAAACCTAAACCCTAATTAACCCTAAACCCTCAACCCTAAATCCTAAGCCCTAATTCCTAAGCCCTAAATCCTAACCCCAGATCCTAAAGAGGCCCTAAACGCTAGCCCCACAGATCCGGTCCCGAGCGTAGGTTCATGGACGAGAGCTGTCGTTTTTTGGCTTGGGGCTTTGGGTGTCAAGGCTGGGGGCGCTGAGGGCTCAGTCATCCCTACACGACTTAGTAAGTAGGTTACTAATGGGGATATTTAGGGTTACTATATGGGTTATAGGGATTATTAACCTACTTACTAAGTCGCCCTGTCCCTGCAAGTAGACTCTAAACCCTAAATCCTGAGGCATTAAAATCGTGAAACGCTAGACCCCAACCTAAAGAAGTAGCTCAGAGCTCTGACACCATCTTCTGAAATGTGGACATTCCGTGCCTTCGCTGAAACTAGCCAACATCTAAACCTTTGAAACCCTAAACCTTGTCTTAAGCCTAAAGAGCGCAGCTGAGGTTGTTCTTCCAGCTCATGAGCCTGTGCACCTTCGCTGAACTAGCTCTGGTCAAGGTAAGAAGATCACCGCGAAGCACAAGTTTAGGGTTTAGAGGGAGTATCGTTCGAGTTTTTGAAGTTCAAGGTCACGGGATTGCCAATCTGCGGAATTAGCTTACAGGTGGTAGCTACGGAATGAGGGAATCTACCCCCTATATGATCCCTATATACATTTCATTGTTCCCGACTAAACCCTAGACCCTAAACCATAAACCCGAAACCGGATGCCTTCTGGATGCTTCGCAGTATCACGGGGGGTCAGGCTGAATGTAGAGCCGGGTATACAGATGCGTTCCCCCACTTTCCTCAAGGACTAGTAAATTGAAGCCAAAAAGACATGATGGCCAGCCCTAGCCTTATGGGATACAAATTTGAAAGTTTTATATCTTCTCAGAGAAGGCGAAACCCTAAACCCGCTTCCATTTCATTTTGCACCTGCCTTTGCTGCCAAAAACATCCACAAAGTGAAGGCTTGAATCCAGGCTTCACTTCAGGGAGCGGGGCTTTGAAGTGGAACTAGTGATTAGGGTTTTAGGGTTTTAGGGTTTTAGGGTTTTAGGGTTTAGGGTTTTAGGGTTTAGGGTTTTAGGGTTTTAGGGTTTAGGGTTTTTTGGGTTTGGGGTGAGCAGGGGTTCAAAGCTTAGAGTTCCATTTTTGGGGTGTACAATTTATTGTTCAAGGGTTCTTCATTGGGAAGAGAGGGAAAGGATGCCAATTTGCTCCCAAAGGGCATCTGGCATGATCATGTCCGCAAGCGCCTCCTATAGCCAGTTGGTCTTGTTTTTGTCCTTCCATTTTAACGTACTTGTGATTCTAGTATGTAGTTTGTGTCTAGAGTTTTATGTGCGTTGGGGTTTGTAAGGTTCAGGGCCTGCCCGTGCCAAGGCAACATGCACACCTTCTACAAGTACTCCCTGGACGCCTACCTCATGGCACCTCGCGGCACCAAGATTCCCCAACCTCCAATGTGCCTTAGATCGGGACGCAGGATTTCATGTTTGTATTTACGTTTGGAGGTTTAGGGGTTGGGATGTGGTGTTACTTTCGGGGTCTGTTTTCTTGTTCCGCCTTTTCAAGCTTTAGGTTAAAGAATGCCACAAGCATTCTCATGCTGAGTTACAGTTCTTCAGCAGGCTCTTGTTGGTTGGAGGGAGTTCCTGATTGCATTCTAGGGCGGTTTTCACTTTGTACATGTCAACCAACAGCTCGCTGAAGTCAGGTCGTGACCCGCGCCGTGAACAGCGTCACTCTCCGCAAGCCCAAGGAGCGCGCGTCCGCGCACAAATGTGCTCTGAGACATAGCCGACATAGCCATCCACTCCAAGTGGGGTCCCTTATCGAACCAAGTGTAGGGGTCGCACATAGCTTTCAACCCTTCAACAATCAGTATATTTAGATCCTCAACCCTCGCCCCAGAGCCTTAACCTCCAGAACCAGAAGCCCGAAGGCTCTGTTTTCGAAGTCTCACCTTAGCCTCCAAAACCATAGGCCCCAAAGCCCTTATGCCCTTATAAACTTGAAGTCTCGCGCAGAAGATCAACCTCCAAATCCATAGGCCCCAAAACCCAAAAACCATAAAACCCTAAAACCCTAAAACCCTAAAACCCTAAAACCCTAAACCCCTAACACCCCAAAACCCTAAAGCCCTAAAACCCCTAAACCCCTAAACCCTAAATCCTAGAGCTGATACCCTAAACCGCACTGTCCTAAAGTCCTAAAACTCCAAGTTTCAGCGGAGGAGAAGAAAGTGGAGGAGAAGGTTGAGGAGGCTCCGGCCGAGGAAGAAGGTGGCGACGAGGACCTGTGGTTTAGGGATTTAGGGTTTTAGGGTTTGAGGATTTAGGGGGTT